ATTTGTATATGAGGAGGAAGAGGAGGAGGAGGGAAAGAAAAAGGCGGTGACATTGGTGCCATTTTCCAATTGATTGTTTAACAACATAAGTGCAGGAAATTATACCATATAATGTAAATCATGGGATTCATCATCTGTCTAAATTTATAAATAAAATCATTTATTATTATTGTTTATTTCATTTCATTTAATTTTATTAAATAATAATTGTTTAAAGAGAAAATAATAAAATAAATGAAATAAAAACCTGTTGAGAAATATGCCAAAATATTAAATCACCATCAGTAATTTGACTATTCACAGAAAAGTTTTTTTTTAGACATTTCACCTTTGTGACAATCTTTATAAGATTTATTGATACCTTTTCAATTTTTCAATTTTGATTTTAAAAGTGACAAAAAAAAATAAAATTTAAAATTCTATCTGAAAATTGGTGTGCACAAATAAAAAATAATATATATATATAAATGGATATGTATACGTAATATATATACAATTTTTTTTAAAAAAAAAAAACATGAAATATATACAAAAAAGAGTCTTTTTATAATAAATAAAAAATAATAATACAATCAATTCAAACAGTAGCTCTTGCATTTGATTTTCCACCACCACCACCACCACTACTACTACTACCACCCCATGATGATGTTTTAAGTGCCCGACCATCTTGGCTACTTTTTTGTTTATGCGGTTCGCGCTGCAAACTTAATTCATCAACACTTTTTTCTGGAATCCATGTCCGAGTCAATAGATAATGCGTTATAATTTGTTGTTTTTCCTTGATAATCTCATTATCGTCATCATTTCTATTGTGATATCTAATCACACTTCCACGATGTAAAGCAGCCCCAAGACTTGTCGCTCGAAAATGATGTTTTGTTGACGCTTTTATATACGACATTGGCGGTATTGGTTGATATTTTGGTCCATTTTGATATCGAAACATTGTATGCAGTAATTCTTGAACTCGTGAATCATCTTGTAAAGTAAGAATTTTTTCGGGTGAAGAGGGTAATGACATTGATCGTGATATAGGATGTGTAAAACAACTATTACCTGTAATGTTGTTATTTTTATTACCATTACCACTATCAGAATCATCGCTGTTGGTGGTGGTGCTAGTCATGGAAAGTGAAATCAATGGTGAATTGATGGATGATGACGCAGAGTTTCTTATAGCTGCTGATAAATATGTTGCATCCATTATGAATGTTCCCAAAAATGGTACAATAGGTTTTCTTGAAAATATTTCAGGTTGTATTGTCTCTCGATATTTTTCATAATTACTAGACTCACTCATCATTTCATTTAACGAATCTAATTTCACCATACTTTTTTTTGGGATACATGTCCATGTCCTCTTCAATCTTTTTATTGGTGGCGTACCTAAAGCTGAAAGGATAGCCTTTAAAGTTTGAAAATTATGCAATTCGTGTAATTTAGCCGCCACTTTAACCCAATGATGTATAACCAATGCTCTGGAAGAGGCATCAACCGGTGACAAAATAGAACATTCTACAATACGTGTTAAATAATTAAAAAAATCCGTGGATGCTATTATTTTTGGATCAGGATTTTTTGTGGAGTGAGCTAACAGTGAATGAGGATCAATTTCTAGAAAAATAGCAGAATCAATTAATGTCAATTGATAAGCTATCATGTGTGGAGCAAACTCCAAAATATCAGGGTCAGATGCAACTTTATATATAATTTCTCTGTACAATGTGATTGATCGTTTAAGCCCCGCAACAGTCGTTACATATTTATCTATCGTTTCTTTTATTTCCTCGGTCGTAAATTCAGACAATGGATCTTCAATCTCTTGATCTCCTTTATCATTGTCATCATCATCATCATCATCATCATCATCATCGTCATCGTCATCATCATCATCATCATCATCATCATCATCATCATCATCATCATCATCGTCATCGTCATCGTCATCATCATCATCATTATGATGGCCTGCCTCTCTCATTTTATACACAGCACGATACTCGGATATTTTCGTTTCCAGCGTTTTTATTTTTTGTTTCAATCGAGTATGCTGCGTTATAAGAGGAGGAGCAGGAATTTCAGGAATATGATCGTTAAGCTGAGTAGTTGGCGAGATTGGTGCTTGATTACTATTGTCCAGATCCATCATTGCAGCGGCAGGTACCAAATTATTTGGATCAACAGCTCCTTCAGGAACTAAACTTATCATTTTTGTCTTTCTATAAAATAAAGTTGGCATTGATAAAGGTGATGATATCGTGTTGAAGAATGAGGTGGCAGAGGTTAACGGAGATATTGTGCGAGAAGAATAAGAACTATCTTCATCTGTATGTGAATCAGTCGTATATGAGTCTGACAATGTTGCTCGCCTTCTTCTTGATCTAGAAGCAGAAGATGAACGTTGACGAGGTATGTGTGGTACATTTAAAGATGATAATGACCTTCCTAAAAATTGATATAAATATATAAATAGAATAATTAGTTAAATGATTTTTATATTGTTATTTATATATATATATTAATGAAATTAAGCATATACATATTTATTTAAAAATATAACAAGTTAAATATCTATCTATATATAATAAATAACACATTATTGTATGAATTAATATATAAATTAAGAGATATCTATAAATATATATACCAATTCTTTCTATGTAATTGTCGCCATCATCCTCTGAAGAAAAGCTGTCAACATCATCTTCTTCATCCCCTGAAATTACATGAGCAACCCTACCACTACCAGATACTTTTAAATGCTTTTTCATGCTAGGAGTCCTGACAGGTTTTGGCGGTAAAGGAGGTTTTACGGTTGGTGAAGTTGGTGATTTTAATATTGAAGAAGTTTTATCATAAACATCCATACCACCACCAGATACATCTATATCTTTAAAATATTTTTTCATGCTAGGAGTCTTGGCAGGTTTTGGTGGTAAAGGAGGTTTTACAACTGGTATGGTTGGGGATTTTATTTTTGAAGAAGTTAGATCGTGAGCATCATTATCACTACCAGATACTTCTACATCTTTTAAATGTTTTTTCATACTAGGAGTTCCGACAGGTTTTAGTGGTAAATGAGGCTTTTTTATATTTACAATTGGGTGATTTGTTTATTTTTTTTTTCTGGAAAATTTTTAGATCATCGGTTATTTTTTGATTATTTCCGAATTGGATTATCGACAAACATTTGTTGACATCCCCGGATTAACCCTTGGTTTCCAAGTAGAGTTAACTCCCTAAAACTATATAAATAGTAATCAAGAGGTAAAAATCAACAATGCTTTTTTAGAGAATTCTTTACAAAAAAAAATTTAATATTCCATCTTTTCCATATTTACCAAATAAGTCTACCCAAAATTTGCATACGAGTAATTTATATCTTTCAAACCTACCTTGAGACTATCTCGCGACACAGGGAATAAAAATAAATAATATTTTTGAAGGCGACAAAAAAATATTTTCTTCGAGTAACTTCAATGATTATGAACGAAGATACACTTACATCTTCTTCTTCATCTTTTATGGATGTAGGTGTCCTTCCATCTTCTTCTAAAAAACTTATATCAGAGAAAATCTGACCCTACGTTACTTTGGAGGAAAAAAATAAATAATATTTACGAAACCTTAATTAAATAGATTCTTGATATCCCATCCATTCCTTTGATGATCTATTAATTAAATTCAAGACAAATTACCAGTCGATTGTTATTGGATCAAAAGGAAAAATATGAATATTTGTTCCTCAAAGGTGTCATATTATGTGATAAAATACCTGAAATAAAAATGTGACTGTCGTGAATCGTATTGGTAAATTCTACTTTGCGCTCCTAAGTCATTTGTAATTAAGGCTGATGACCAAGGCCCTAGATTTTCAATTATCGAAAAGAATGGACGCTGGCTTCGTTGCTTTTTATCGGATATAATCCATGCGCTCAGGTTATTGAACGGGGAAAAGGGGCGTAGATATAATAGAACGCTTATGCTGCTGCTATCTTGGCAGAATCCAAAAACAGACAGTATTCTATTAATAGTAAAGCAGATAAGCGTAAAAGATATAAGATCCACAATAAAATACGTAATTTTGTGGTGAAATTTTGCAAAGTGGTTATGCGAAATCATCATGTCGTTTTAAGCAAATATCGAGGCCTACCCTTATAGGGATAGATTTACGTTAGTAGTATTTATTCAACAAAAAACTGTGTGGTACAAAATTAATTGACAACGCCCCGGATTAATCCCATTCGGATTAATTTCTGGTTGTTTTTTTCATTTTGTTTTACAACACTTTCCATATAAACTATATCATTATTATTGCTAAAAGCGGGTTTTTTCATAAACATAATCATAAATCAAACAAAATCAGTTCAAATATAGATTTGGCTTCTTTTGGCGAAATTTTGTGTAAAAATAAATAAATAAATAAATAAATAGGCAATCCAAAATCAAATCAAATCAATGAATTAAAAATCTAAAAAAACAAACCTTTAATATTAAGGAGAGAAAAGTTCGAATGATTTTTACTGATGAATTACATGTGATCTTTATCACATCATCACATACACGTAATATAAAAAATATTTATAAAATAAAGTTTTTTAAATAAATAAACTCTTTTTGAGAAATTTGTTATTATTGGTTTAGATTTTTAGAGAAATATCGGGAATTTCAGGATCAAATAGAATAAATTTAGTCAAGAAATTAAAAAATTATAATAGGATAATATATTTAAAAGGGGTGGTAAAATTTTTGTTTATAGTGTATATATATATGGTATAAAATTTTGAAACTAGTTGCAGATTTTGTAAAATAATTAAACGAATTTGTATGTTAATATATGGCGCAGTTGATTTCCATACACTGACTGATTAGATTAACTCTTTCAGCTTAACCACTTTTTATTTAAAGTTTTTATTAATAATTAAAAAAAAATAAATAATATTCGTTTTTTTAACAATTTATTCTTTTGAAATAATAAATAAAATATAAAATATAAAATGGGTTTAAAGGAGCTTGGAATTCCAGCTGGAGTTATTACTGGTGATAATGTTCGCAAAGTATTACAATATGCAAGGGAAAATGGTTTTGCCATTCCAGCTGTAAATGTTACCAGTTCATCTACTGCCAATGCTGCCTTAGAGGCTGCCAGAGACATTAAAGCACCACTTATTATTCAATTATCTCAGGGTGGTTCTGCCTATTATGCCGGTAAAGGTTTGAGTAATGAAAATCAAAAGGCCAGTATTATTGGTGCTGTTGCTGCTGCTCATCATATTAGAATTGTTTCCAAGGAATACGGAATGTTAGTAAAATTTTTATTATTATCAATTAATCAATTATATTTCTTTAAATAATGACGATAATAATATTATTTATTTTTATTTATTATTATTAGACCTGTTATCTTACATTCTGATCATTGTGCTAAAAAACTTTTGCCTTGGTTTGATGGAATGTTGGATGCTGATGAAGAATACTTTAAAAAACACGGTGAACCTTTGTTCAGTTCTCACATGTTGGATTTATCTGAAGAACCAAAGGATGAAAATATCGCTATATGTAAGAAATATCTTGAACGTATGAGTAAAATTAATCTTTTACTTGAAATGGAAATCGGTATCACTGGAGGTGAAGAAGATGGTGTTGATAACACCGACATTGATAATTCACATTTATACACACAACCTGAAGACATTTGGGATGTGTATCGTGAATTGAGTCAAGTCACTGATCTTTTCACCATAGCTGCCGCATTCGGTAATGTCCACGGTGTTTATAAGCCTGGAAATGTTAAATTATCACCAATTTTACTTAAAAAACATCAAGATCATGTTAAAGAGAAATTAGGCACCAAAAATGACAAGCCTGTCTTTTTTGTATTTCATGGAGGTAGTGGAAGTCTTAAAGATGAGATTAAAGAAGCAGTTGGCTATGGCGTGATAAAAATGAACGTTGACACTGATACACAGTGGGCATATTGGGAAGGAATAAAAAATTATCATGACTCCAAAAGAGGTTATCTTCAATCACAAGTTGGTAATCCTGAAGGTGATGATAAACCTAACAAAAAATATTATGATCCAAGAGTTTTTATTCGTGAGGCTGAAAAGACTATGGCTAAACGCGTTCAAGAAGCTTGCAAAGATTTGGGCAATGTTGATCGTTTGTAATTTTATAAATATAATATCATAATAGTAGTAGTAAAAGTCTTTTTTTTTATTGTGTATTTTAAAAAAAAATTAGAGATTATCAGAGATCTGCAAAGAAATTGCTAAATAAAAAATTAGTATACATAAACATAAATCTATTATATATTATTATTATTGTTTGTATAGCAAAATTATATTCCGCGTTCTAAAAAAAAATAATAAAAAATAAATTATATTATTATAATGACTGAAAAAAACTTTATTGGAAGAAGATTAGGAATAGATGTTACCGCTGCTGTTGCTGCTGCTTTTGGAGTTTCACCTTTTATAACAATCATTGATAGGTAATCATGAACATAATAACAATAAAATAAAATAAGGTTGTTGTCGCAAGTTTGCTTTGAAAAAAAAAGTAATTTATGATCTTTTCTCACACAAAGGTATATGTTTAATTCATCATTGTTTTTTACGATAGATCTATTGTAGAAAATGCTAGTGGTCGTAACTCAATAAGTGCTTCTCTTAAACAAGGATTCCGTGATTTATTAACAAAACCTCACGCATTTATACGAAAACCAGCGTTTGGTTTGATTTTTTTCGTCTACTCTTCAACTTACATAACAGCCAACACAATTGATACAATAAGCCATTGTTACTTTAATAATCAAAGTCAAAAAAGTAAAGAAATAGGAAAATTTATGGGCACAACAATTGTTAATATGACAACATGCATCTATAAAGATCGTCAATTCACCAGAATGTTTGGTACGGTTGCGCCTAAAGGTTTACCGATGGCAACCTATTTATTATTTGCAGCCAGAGACTCTATGACTATCGGTGCAAGCTTCAATCTTCCACCAAAATTAGCAAATGAATTGCACCAACGACAAATCATCCAAAATTCCGAGAATGCCATAAATTTAGCACAGTTAACATGTCCTGCAATGATTCAAATTTTCTCGACCAATCTCCATCTATTAGGTTTAGATTTATATAATAGACCAAGTGCTTCAAATGTTTCCAGATTGAAGTTTATAATCAAAAATTATTTAATGTCCACAATTAGCAGAATTGCTCGTATTGCGCCAGCTTTTGGGTTTGGAGGAGTTGGTAATAGAGTTGTTAGAAATAAGTTAAGTGATATTATTAAGATTAAAAATCATAATAATGATGTTGACAAAGGATTAGAAAGTATGGTTGCTGCTAAAGCCTTTTCACCAAATCGGTGATGCTTGTAAAAATATTTTAACTTGTATTTTATTTTTTTTAAATCTATTTATTTATAAATTTTATAAATTTAATTGGGACAAAGCGCCCACCTAATGTCATAAATAAATTCTGGCGATGAGTTGGTTTTTAATTATTTTGCAATAAATCTGTTGCTTAAACAAGTTACAGCCAATCTCCACGGGAGGCTATCCTTTGCAGTCAATGAATGACCTAGATGAGCAAAATGAAGTTATAACCCAGATCAACAAACATATCCTTCCTAATTAAATGGAACAGGCACCGGAATTCATTGACAAGAAGATCTTTATGTTCCAGGCTAATTAATTTAATATTACACGAGTAATTTAAATAATAATAATAAATAAATATATATTTCGTATGTCCTCACATATTCGAACCGACCAGAATCATTGACATCCTTCAAACAACCCTTCACATAATAAACAAATTCTACTTGTTCTAAACTCATGAACTAAATGTGCTCGACATCTTTTCTTTAATTCCCTATACATACTCTTTACTAGTGATGCAGCATAACCCAGTAAACTGCTTGAAAATCCTCTATCACCATATGTAGCTTCTACCTTTGCCCCTCCTCCTGTAATTCTATAATAGATGTTTTTTGTTTTGAAATGTGGGGTTTTCCATCATATATCATCTTATGCCATAGAATTCAAGTGAGGGTTCATGTGTTGAAGAACATAATTAAGTTAATTTTGATAATGATTAACAGATGAACATGAAGAAATTGGAATAGCTATGTAGATAAAAAATACATATATATTAAAAAGTTAAATAATTATTAAAATAAGATCATAACTTACAGCTCAATATTTTTCACCCAGACCTTCCTCTTCTTCCTAGCCCTAATAAACCTAAGTACCACTCTTTTGTAGAACAATTAAAACAATTCTCTTTTCTTCCATCTACTTCAACAGCTCTTTTTTTTCCAAGGTCAATCAATTCCAACCACTCTATCACCTGTTGCAATATCTGATGGGTAATAGTCATCTTCTTCATCAAAGCCATGATCATTAACTCTGTCTGACTCTGTAACTATTTTCTTCAAATTCGCACTTATATATTCATTCCATCTGTCATAATATTCATTCCAAAACGTTGACATGAGGTAGTTAGTTACTTTTTCTACCCTACAAAAAGTTGAGATGCTTAATTAAATTAAGAAAACCATTGAAACCATTCGATAAAGAAATGAAAAAGAAAGATAAATTAGTGATTTTGGTAATAATGATATTACTAGCAACAATGATAAATTGCACCAGGGTGACTAAAGAAATAAGTAGTATTCATCAATAGTTTTGGGTCCGAGTATTTTCCTTCTATGCAATTCCTCTGGTAATTTTTTTCTTATATTAATTATATATTTTAGTAGAATAAAGCATGACCTATCTTTTCTTGTGTGAATAATACCTTTGTCCCCATTATTGTATATGTTGATTATAGTGTTATAATGTTCATGATGCTATGTGATACTGTTCTTAAAATTTGTAAAAAATTAATAAATAAATAAAATTGATAAATTGCATCACCCAAATAATGATAATAATACTAGAAACAAAAATTCCAAGAAAGCAATTTTGGGAAAGCCACACAATGTCCTCACAAGCAGAATTGGAAAATTAAACCATGAATGATGTTTCGTTGGATTTTAATCCATGTCCTCTTTCCCACACAGGACAATTGTACATCATAATGCCATCCAAGTGATAGTGGAAAATTTTTAGTAGTCAAAACTTCTTTTTTTTGCATGTATGGATGCATGTGTGCTTCACAATTGTATACAAGTTGTAAAAATCACTGATTTAAGTTTCAAATTACAAACATGCAAAAGCATGTCTCTTACAACCATGGGATCTTTTCCATGGGTGATAAATTGAAAACATATCGGAAGGAAAGAGGCTTAACCACAGGTAGAAATTTTCAGTTCTGACAATATTTACTTGGTAGTCTCCTTGACAATGATGCGACTTCCATAAATTTCACATGCCCCCCCCGAAATTTGTATCATTGGGAACGTCAGCTTGGCTTTATAAGATGAGAATGATTGTAACGATTTAGGTATTTGAGCTTGAAGCAATAATACACTTCAGCATCTATAAATTATCCAATAATAATAATCAAATATTCCTGATCATTTATTATTATAAATTCCGAACCGTGTAACCAATCGGTTTTTATATCAATTACATGTTCTTCTAGACACTTAATGTATATGCAATATGGATCAGCATGTTATCATGTCATCATGGTGTTTTTTTATAAAACTTCTTTCCTTTTGTAGCCTCCATGTTCCGCATAGTTTTATGTGATTGGATATAAAAACGCCGGAAACGTTGGGAAAATTTTCAATTCCACGTTCCTTATAAGTAATACATTTTATCTTTACTATTACCATATTAATTCCAAAATATGAACAAATACATTAAAAAATATTATTTGAAGCAGATATATTTTTTTATCCTATACTATTTGAGAAATCTCGAGACAAATTTTTGTATATCTTGTTCTGTCAATTTACACTCATCTTATCAAATCTAATATGCAGAATCAAGAGTAGCAAATGAACAAAATGTACAGTATTAATGAATAGAAAGTGACCATGCTTTAAAAACATGATGCTGAAAACTTTACATGATTTTGACATTTTTGTTATGAACTAATTCAAATACAAGGAGAAAGCAATAAACCTCATCGGGATAAGATAATAGGCTTACGGAATACATATCATAAAAATTAATATCAAGCTTTACTTTAAAAGAGCCATCTTTATCGTTCCTAAATGGTAATCTGACTTCCTTCAAGAGAAAGTTTTCATCTTCATTTCAATTATTCATCAAAGGGTCCGTCCTCTTTAAATTTGTTTCGGGTATAGACCGTTTTCTTCTTATTCCTATGCAAGTAAAATATGGGAATTGGACTAGGAAAATCGACTCCTCAGGCAAAAATCTATTTTAAAATTGGTTACACGTGTTTTTAATATACAAAGAAAGTATTCCAAGCCCTATATCTCATTCCTCTACTATGCAAACAAGATCCAATTTTTTCTCCAATCGTAATCCTTGTATAATAGATTAATATTAAGTAAGATAACTCAAAATAAAAAAATCAGCTGAGAGGTTGATTTTCCTAGTCCAAATCCCATATATGATGAATGAAAAAAGATTTTTCAGGCGCATTTTATTAATAAATTTACATATTCAAAAATTATTTAGAATCTGATAAATCGTTGAATGCAGGATTCTCTTTATCCACATTTGGAAACCCACATGTGAAGAAATTATTAAATTAGAAATATTACTGAAAGAGAAAAATTAACAATGAAATTCTACCAACAGCTCCTCTAGTAGCCTCAATAGAGATACAAACAATTTATCGAATGGTCTGAGGGTATAAAATCTGCAATAGCAAAAGGTGGCTTCCCGTTAGATTATTACAATGGGTAATAACCATTTGCTTTTATCTATGTTTAAATGTCTGGTGTCAAATCTTAATATTTTTAGGCCTGGTTTAGTAAGTAACGGTGAAAGGTTGGTTTCATGGTGAATTTATCAGTTTACTAGGGGGCAGTCATTTTCTTTTTGTGCGCGACTCATGTATCTTCATTGTTTTACCTCATAGTAAAAAGAAAAAAAAAGATTCTCTTTCTCCCTTTCAATCGATTGTTTGCTTGCTCTCGAGAAAACAATTCGGTGAAATGTAGATCACTCCAAAAATTTACTGTGTCACAGTCACTTTATAAATTTACTATAGTTGGCTCGGTGCAAATTTTAACAGAAAGACATTTTCTGTCCTACCTTTTTAAAAAACAGCTCTATTGGTTGATAGAATAGGTCTTTAATTTTAATGAGTCTAGAGGTTCCGTATTCCGTACATCTGCGCCTCTGTAGTAAAAAATGCTCTGTATGAAACAAAAATATGGAATCGAAGATCGTACAGACTGGCCCCCACTAATCAACTTTTCAGAATTCACAAATTCCGTTCCGTACAAAATTAAAAAATAAAAATCGAAGATCGTACAGACTAATCAACTTTTCGGAATTCACAAATTCCGTTCCGTACAAAATTAAAAAATATAAATAAAAAATGTACGGAACAAAAAAAAAGACTGTACGGAATTGAATCTCTACTGACTAAAAATTATTTGTAGTTCTATTCTTTTCTAAAACATGTACTTTACTATGTAGCGTTAGATCATCGCTAAACTTAGACTAGTTTTAGATTATCGTTACTAAACTTAGACTAATACTCAACAATCATATCTAAATTTGGCAGGAAGGAAATAATTTTTTCAACCAAAATCACGTGAAGTCCGTTTTGAAAAGTTTTATTATTATTATTGCATTTTTGAATGAAATTTGATCTTTGATTGAGCCAACCATATTATTGGAAATATGTTGTATTACAAATTTGTATCACATACAAAATGTCTAACTCCTTATAGATTGGCAACCAAAAATTTCTAAAATTCTAAAATTGTAATTTTCATTTCTTTAGACATTTTTTAAAGAGAAGTTAGTAACAAGTATATACTTGTATCATGTCACCATCAAAAGATGGAACCGCGGAAAATAATGAAGGAAAAACATTAGGAACGGCAATAAATACACAACAAGTAGACACCGCTAATAACAGCAGCAGCAACAGCACGCCAAAACCTAATATTGCTGCAACTAATTCTAAAATAACAAATAGTGATGACAACAATGAAGCAGCTGATAATTCTTCGGGTAAAAAAATTTATGATTTGCTTAATTTTACAATGGCGTGCAATTTCATAGCATCAAATTAGCATACAATTAACGATAATACATCATTGATAAACAACAAATTATATATATATATTATGTTTAGGAATATCGATTCATCAAGCTGTACAACAAGGAAACCTACATCTAACAAAAAATTTAATTGAGAATGGATATGCCAAAGTAAATGATAGAGATTCAGATAATGTTACTCCATTACATTGGGCAGCAATAAATAATCACGTTATTATGGCAAAATATTTGATAGATAATGGAGCTGAAATAGATGCGTTAGGTGGAGAACTGGTTGCCACTCCATTGCATTGGGCGGCAAGGTGTGTTCAGTTTTTTTGGGATTAAAAAGATTGTCATATCAAACCTTTAATTTAAACATTATTTATTTGATTTTGCTAAAAGACTAAATAATGTCTTATATAACAATATTTTAAACTTTAATTATTATTATATATATGTACATATGATTCTTTAGAAATGGTCATCTTTCATTAGTTACTCTTTTAATTAATCATGGTGCTGATCCAAACACGCGAGACTCTCAAGGGTTTAATGCTTTACATCTGGCAACTCATTCATCAAATTCTATGCTAGTATTATACTTATTATATCAAGATATGGACATTGATACACCTGATACCCTTCAACATACACCTTTAATGTGGGCTGCTTATCAGGGCGATACATTGACCGTGGATCTATTAATAGAGCTCGGTGCCTCTGTAGATAAAATAGACGCTTCTCAATTCACAGCTTTACACTGGGCAGTAATTAAAGGAAATCCTGCTTGTATGAAAAAATTAGTAGAAGCTGGTTCAGATATTAAGATTAAAGAAGAAAATGGGAAAACACCCGAAGACATTGCTACAGAAACGAATGCACAAAAGGTATGGAGAGGTGCATTATCTGAAGCTGGTATAAAAAAAAATGGAAAAAGAAAAATATATTTATTTGAAAAGGTTTGTTATGTATCAAATTTTATTTAAATTGCTAATTAAATATTATTTTTTTTTCATGACTTAAAAATTTTCTTTAAAAAAATTTTTTTTTGTGCACTTACACAACATAGAAAACAACATATGCCATTATATATACTATACCTTTTATTTTGCTATTTTTGACATTCAAAACTTTGGCAATTTATCCTTGGTTAATTGGGCTACCTATAGCTGTCTGTATATTTGTTGGTTTTCATTTATTAATAGTAAAAGTTTTGGTTCAAGCGCAAGTACCTGATGCTATGATGAGAACACCATATTTCACTAGTTTATTTCAAGCAACTGCATTTTGGTTTTGTCTGACATATATTTTCAAAATATTAGTTGGTTAGTATGATTAAGGAAATTGATTAGATTTCATTCCTATTTATTCATTTATTATATTTTGTGTTTAAAATGAATGATATAAATAATGTCATATATTACTAATTTTTTACATAATAAATATTAAATTATAGCCACATCATATTTATTTGTGACGAATATAATATTTTTCAGTTCGATTGTTACATCATTATATTCATTCTATACGGCTGTACTTGCTGATCCTGGGTTTGTTTCAAAATTAAAATCTCGTGAAGAACAAAAACAAGTATGTTTAATATGAACATAATTTGTGAATAGAAAACTCTTAATAATCTTTTTTTTGTTAATTATTCCAGTTAATAATTGATCTAGCTAACAAAGGAATGTTAGATGCAAGGCATTTGTGTTTTAAATGTTTGGTTAGTATTTTTGAATATTGGCAGGAAAATTGTGTCGAAGAATATGTAATTTAATCTTTTAAGTTTGGTATATAATGAAAAAATTTAGATTAAAAAACCTTTACGATCAAAACATTGCAAAATATGTGATCGATGTGTGGCAAGATTTGACCAGTGAGTTTTATTTTAAAAAAATATTAAATCATATTAAATTTATTTTACTAACTATTCTTACTTGAACCATTTTTTAATAAGTCATTGTCCTTGGATATTTAACTGTATAGGCGTAAAAAATCATCGAGCCTTTATGATCTTTTTAGGCAATATGGTGATAGCGATCATTAGTTTTGATTATCTTTCTTATCAATGTAAATAGCATTTATAAATCTTGAAAATGTTTTGGTATTTTTTTTTTATGATATATATTAATTAAATATTTTCCTTAGATATAACAACAGCAGCATCTCCTTATAAAAAAGATCCATCCGACTCTTGTTTTGTGAGCGAAACAATATGTGGATATTTTGCATATGACTCTTGGACAATTGCTTTATGTTTTTGGGTGACATTGCATCTTATTTGGAGTATTGGATTACTTGGTATGCAGTGCTATCAAATATCAGTGGCTAAAACGACAAATGAAATGGCTAATTTCCACCGTTATTCATATTTTGGAAATCGTACGGCTGGAAATATTAGAGAACAAATATTAGCTACTTTAGCTGCAGGCCCCGGAGCAGGCGGAGCAGCACAAGTAGGTGATAATGATAATGATGGTATGGACAACAATGCTGTTGATGACGATGGTGACTATGATGAGGAGGATGAAGATGATGCATGTAAAGATCCTAATAAATTGCATTCATCATCATCAGAATCAGGGTGTAATCATAACCATAATAATAATTCTAGTAAAATTATAAATATGTTTGGAGGGAAAAAATCAAAGAAATCAAAAAAATTAAAGAATTTAAATAAAAATTATCAATTACATAGTAGTAATAATCCATTTGATTTTGGATGTTGGAATAATTGTATTGATTTTTGGTCACAAGGGAATGGTGGTATGCTGCAAAATGTGGATTGGTATGGTTTATATGATGTGCCGTTAGTAGAAAGAAAAAATAGCAAAATGTCAAGACGACGCGTTATGGGTAATAATAGTTATATATCATTAAGAGGTGATGAAGATACTGTATAAAAAACGAAAATATTGTGATATTTATTTCAATATTAAAATATATGATGCCGAATTATCATTTTTAATTTATTTATTTATTTATTTATTAATTAATTAATTTTAATCTATACATTTATTTATCTATCCATATATCCATTCATTGTTGTTGTTTTGTGATGCTTGTATTTTTTTGTTTTTTTGTTTTTTTGTTTTTTTTTTTTTTTTTTTTATAACTTTAAATAATTTAAATATATATGTCTTAAAATAAAATAAATAAAAATAAGCCCATTAAAAAATTATTCAACGAAATGGTGATCAATTTATTAAAATGCAATATGAATTTGAATAAACAAATAATAGATTAAATAATAAACGAAATAAATAAAATAAGTAAAATAAATAAATAAATATATATATTGATGTAAATTTAATGACGACTTGGGTTTCTTCCTACATGCGTCCCAACTCGAACCTAAAAATAATAAAGATATAATGACTAAAAAATTATCGGCAAAATATCGCATATAATTAATAAAAAAACTTACCAAAGTTTCCAAACATTGTTTTGAATTTGCTAATATGTCATCATCAAATACCGTTTTACCTTTTTGGAAGAGGAGAATAATTGTACTGCCACCTAAACAATCAAATAGTCATAAGTATATTATAATATTTTAGAATAATTATGAGTTTTCAAATATATCACTAACCAAAAGCAAAATATCCATGTTCATCTAATCTCTTAACATCTGAAAATGGTTTACTACAAAGAAGAATTATTTTAATTAAATATTATTTTAAAATTGAGAAAAAATTTTACTTTTTATAATAATTTTATGAAATTAATTAATTACCTTGTATAAACAATAGATCCCACCATCATTGCACCTACAGCTACAAAAGCTACTTTGCCAAATTTCGGTGAATCTATATAAGTTATAGAGCGTTTGTTTTCTCCATATACATCAAGTCTAAGTTTATTTTGTTTATGTTAATAACAAAAAAAAATTTATAAATGAAAAGAAAATTATGGTCATACGGTAATAAGAATTATTTACTCTGAACGAATAGCCATAGGATTAACAGTATAGTAGTCACCAGCAATAGGTTTATTTTCACCAATACGACCATCTACTGGAAAATGAAACCTTTTTTAAAAAAGCATAATTTTTAGGACGATATTTGTTATATATACAATTAATCAATTTAACCATTTTATTCATAACTACCTGTGATAATCTTGAGGAGCCAATCTAAAAATCCCCAAGCTACCACCTTCAAATTCCTTGGCAGCACTTTCATCGCCTAACAACCTTTGAATAGAAAATTGTTGACCTTTAATCCATAATTCGATTGATTCATCGATTGTTGGGAAAGCCATCATACGACAATCAGCCGGGCTAACTAAAATACTAGGATCATTAGGGAAATCCAATTTTCTAGCTTCAGGTTTCAACTTGCGATAAAAAAATTCATTGAAATTTTTAAATGATTCGATGGGATCAAGAATTTCATCTCTGCTAAGATTATGAAATTCAATAAATCCATTTATGTCTTTAACAGATGCGGGATGATCATATTTTTTGCCTTGTTTAACTGAAAGATTTTCAAGAAGGGTTTTGGCTATAATTATGTATATAAAAAAAAATTAGTTTAAAAGGAATAATATATATATATATATTATAGATGTTTTAATCAATATTATAAATAATTACTTCTTTTAGAATCAACATTTTTAATGCCTCTATACAATAATCGAATACCTAATCGAATATACGTCGGCATTTTTTCTTCGACCAATTGACCAGTTTGGCGATCTTGAACAATAATATTAGCATTATTCTAAGGATATAATGATAACAATCATTATTTAATTAAATAATCATTATCCTTTTTAATAAAGAATGTTAAAGAATCATCATTGTATGTATACTTACAGCACCAATCTTATAATTACCATATCCTATTTTAGAAATGACTTTGGACAACCATTTCCTTTGCGCTTGCGATTCAGTTACAAAATCTCCAGTAACAAATTTATCCAAGTTTCCCCAATCATTACTAGCACAAATTGAAACGTGAGTAATAATTTCTGCTTCAGTAAGTCGAGAAAGGTTTGGTTTATGACAAATAGGACATTCCTTTAGATATATCATATGTTCATTTTCTGCTTCTTCTCCATCTGAAGTAGCACTAATATGTGAAATGGTTGTATCCCGTAATCTTTCTTCTAGACATTTAACAATCTCGTCAAATGTTAACTCATCTTTGGCGGGAACTTTGTTGAAACGGGTAAAAAAACTTGTAATAGTTTTATCTGTCAAAGAAGATCCTAAACTATTAAGCATAGTTTCAATCTCAACATAATTCAAAAGATTATTCTCATTAGAATCATAAATTTTTGCTAGTGAATACCAAAATTGTTTTTTAATTTGTTCGTATGGTATATAATTAATTTTAAAATCAAGCTTAGAAGAATACTCTTTATCCAAATGCAATTTAACATCCAAATCAATTTCTTCTTGTTTCATTCCACTTTCAAGATCCTCAACTCCGTTAAATTTAAAAGGAGCGTTTGGAATAACTTTTGCTATCTCGTAAGTTTGTGTTGCAACTAAATCATTACCACTAAATTTATCCCAATCATTAACAGTAAACTTGATCTTGTAAGTAACCTCACTATGTTTCACAGGAAAATAAAACTTTTCATTCCAAACTGGATTCAAATTATGACTAATCACTTTAGTTCTGAATGTATTCTTTGAAAATGATATAACAACAAAAGGGTCCATATCAAAACCGGTTTTAGTCACTATGTTCAAAAAAAATTTGTTTTATCAATATAAATAACATTTTAATATTGTCCCTAATTCATAATTAACTTACCATTTTTTGCTGCAGGTAAATTCTTAGCACCAACAATTTCAATAAATACCCAACCATGGATATCGGTAAGTGAAACACTAGGTTTTCTTACGTGTGTTTGTGATTTTGTATCGACTTTATTCGTATCCTTTTTTTTATTTGAATCAACATCATCCTGAATATTTAATTTTGACATATGTCGCCAAAGTGTCAACAACTCATCAGGGTTAAGTGGCTCAGTTGATTTATCAACAATACCAATTTTCACAATAATTTCACCAGAAACAACTTCACCTTTCCGTTTAGAGATTAATGGATATGGGTGAGGCTATGTAATCAAAAATAACACAAAAATAAATAATTTATCATTTCTATTATAAATATTTATAAAAATTTAATTTTATAAACAATAAACCTTATTCAACTCATGATTATATCCAACAATACCATTACCCCATAACTCTTTTAAAAGAATATCAAATTCACCCATATAATCTTTACCAAATACATCTTTATCCCAACATGTAAAATAAATTGCTTCTGGTGGTTTATCTTGGTTAATTCTGTGTTCAAAAGTCGCATTCCAACGTGGATTTAATTCCTTATTGACAACTTGTGTATGATAAGTAGAATCTTCAATATACAATGTAACATACTATTTTTAAAAAAAAAAGATTATTAATCAAATGAGTATTCTTTATTATTTTTATTAATATATTTATTTACTTTGATAAAATGTTTGAAATCTTACTGGGTCAGAATAACCATTTGTATCTTTTGAAGCCAAATTTTTGCCCTCAATGATATCAATTCGTAAAAAAAAGTTCGATTTAGGCATGCTTAATTGAATTTCTTTTCGTTTATTTTATTTTATTTGGTTTTTAATTTGGATAATTTAGAGTAACCTTTTGAATTGACAAAATCTAATCAAGAATTTTTATCTGTATTATTTTAGTGTGTGAAAGTGCGGCTCTAACCATATTTGGTAACTATTTTCCAAAAACCTGCTGATAATTACCAAATTTGTTTAGCACGTACATTCCGCACTAAATTTTTATACACCCGGAAATGTTGTGACACAAACAATTAATAATAATAATTCCTTGTATATACTATTCAATGGCTTCGGCATTACTTAAATCGTCAAATTCCTTTCAAGCACTTTCCTTATATCGCAGACTTAGAAGGGCCGGTGAAGAGTCGGTATTGTACTCGAGACCTGCTATCTATTACGTTAGACAAAGAATTCGCGAAGGTTTTAGAGAATATGAGAATGTAGCTGATGAACAATTATTACAAGATTTATTTGAACGTGGTAATAAGCAGTAGTAGTATTGGTGGAAGTAATTGATGACGATGATTATAGTGGGAAATACTAACTTTTTTTAAAACAAATTAAGCTGAAAACACAATAAAATTTTTTAAAATAGCAGCAGAAAGAAAAGGTATAGAACATAGAATTATTCGTAATTTATGTGAGATGACTTATATTCAGAATAGATATAAAACAAGGTAAAAAAGCGTCACTTACTATTGGTTTTTTAATTGTTGATTTTTTCCTAAATTGATTTAATTCGATTGTTTAGACCACCATTTGTTAATAAAAAGCAGAAAAATGAAAAATATCTTATACATCAAGGAAGTTATAGAGATCTTTATGATATGATCAAGATGTTTAATGATACTTTGAAGTTATGTTTAAGATAATAATGAAGGCGATGACAATGTGCGGCGGTAATGATGTTAAACAGAAGAATGATGAATAATTGTGATGATTATAGAGAACAGGAAACATATCATTATTGTAACGTAAAATTGCATGCAATCCGCCTTGAACGAGCATAAATAAATAATTGTTATTTTTTTTTGATTTGATTTCCTACAGCTTCAATTGTTCGATTTCCCAATTCCACATAGTTATTCCATAAATATGTATAGCGACATAGAGATTATAAAGAACAAGGAACATGAAATTAATAATAGTAAGTTGAAGAACTGTACATTGTATTACATCAGGAAAAGAAAATTCAGTAAATAATATACACACAATGGAATTTTATTGTTAAGAACAAAAATGATAAAAATAATAATTCATCTTACTTTATTTGAGCAGTATTATTAGCATTAACATTATCTGGTAAACCACCAATATGTATTTAAAATTTAAGATCCCCATTTTCTCTTGAATAAAAGTTCACTATGTATTGATTACATGGCCTAGGACATACATATACACACACACATATATATTGGTTATTGATGAAAAGACATACAAGCGAACAAAATGGATAGATAGAATTAATTTCAAATCACCTATCAGAGGCAGATATAACATTTTCATACGAATAATCAAATTATGGACTTTCGTTATATGCCTGTGGAAAGATGCAAGAGCACGTTTCACAGCTTGTAATGATCTACACATATAAATGATGATTATTTTTTAATATGGGGCATACTGCAACAAAACCAGACAAAGTGAACATTGGTATTACCAAGAATTTCAGGGACCAAAGTTTAGTCATCTTTAATGCA